GCACCATGGCCTGTTTAAAGATTCACCAGAATGGTCATAATCTCCAAGCGTTCATGTGAGCTTGACTGACCTGTGGCCCCACCATACTGGCAAAATGTTATATTGCTTTGTTTTTTATGTATATTTTCAATAAAGCTTATTTAAAAAAAAAAAAAATTGTGAAAGCGGAATGCTTTCATTGCACCCGGTTTTGGGGATATATTTGACCTCCTGCTGCTGCATTGTGACCACTGAAATAATTACAGACTATTTGGAGTTGTGAGGGGTGGAAAGCTAATCTAGAAATACCCAAGATTAAACATTAAATGGCTGGAAACAAGCAAAATGAGTATGCCACACAATTGTTCACTGTCTTTGGAAACATCATGGATTTACTGAACTTAAAAAATGTCTTAATCAACAGGTTTTCTTGAACTTTCAACTGAAAAACAAAAAGTATTTCATTTACCTAATTGTGACTGACAGAGGTAAATACTTAGGCTATTATCCTATATTTATATTACAGATAAAACATTGCTACCTCTCAGGTTAACAATATTGCCTGTCATAACCTAAAGAATCGCTCAGTCTGCTGGGCTCACCACAACACAGTCACATTGATCTCTCTCCCTCTGCTTTAACAGTAAGGCTACAGTCATCTTTCATTTTGGCGTATTCAAAACAATTACATATTAGCCCAACAAACGTGCTATGGTTAACAAACTGGAGGTGGACGAAAGACTGTAGGCAAAGCTGAAACTATCACTTTTCTGCAAGTTTATGCTTGTTTAGTGGGGGCTTTGATAGATTACTCTTATTGACTTTTGATTTACATAGGTTTTATTCCACATAGACTAACAAGCTTAGTCCAGTAATGTTTCACTTCATCTGATGCAAACATAAAAAACTCACACTGTAGAGCACTGAAGGGGTGCGCTGGATTTATATCACAACACAAAATGAGAGGATTATAATGTAACAGTGTGACATGACACAATAACCTTTTCATCTTGATTATTTTGTTTTGCTGGAAGCCAAATTATAATTGAAAATAAAACAGACTTTAAAAAATTTATTGCCCCTAGATTGACCATATAGTGAAAATCTAAGTGATGACTGGGTCACTTGAAAAAAATGTCAAAACTTAATAAACTGCAATAATACCAGTCCTATGGATAAAAATTGTAACAGCTTTGAACTTGGCTCACAATCTCTGCCATCACCATCTGGTATCAAGATAATCCCAATCAACTCTCACACAGCTGTCACTGCATAAAGTAGATCTTCCACAGCTGCGGGCTGTCACCTCGCTGGATTCCTTCAAGTTCCTGTCTTACACGGCAGGGTATACTGAGCGACAGCACTCAGTTTCTACTGACAATGAATGGGCAGCTGTCACGTACTGATGTAGCATCTAGTAGCTCTTTTTTAACTTGTACAGTATATACAATATGTATGTGTTGTTTTTAACAATACTTGGCAATAAAGTTTATGCTTATGCTCATGCTTAACCCAGGGATTTACGTATCTCTGTATGTGCTCAGAGTACTCAGCAGTGCAGCTGCGCACTTTGGCCACAAGGGGCTCATATAGAAAGAAAGCCCAGCTATATTTCATCAGGCGGCTCAGAAAAACTGGGTTGAACCGTCGCCCTCTCACGCAGGTAGAGTTGTTTTTGGTGGCCTGTTTTAATTTTAGTTTTAGTCCAGTCTTTGTGTGAAGCTGTCATTTTAGTTTTTATTAGTTTTAGTCACATTCATACTCTTTTTAGTCTAGTCTAGTTTTAGTCGACAAAAACTGATGACATTTAGTCTAGTTTTAGTCAATGAAAATTGTATTTTAGTCTCTTTTTAGTAATGAAATTCAATTTAACCCAGCCAATATAGTATAAGTGACCTTGAAGAGCACCGAGATACAGAGAAGGCAAAGGAGAAAGTGGAAGTTCCAGGGGAGGTTGGAGAGGACGAAGGAATTATTATTAAAATGCTTTGGCAGAATGCTTAGAAAAGTTAAGCTTTTAATAAGTAAAGATAATCAGAAAATGATTTGTGTGTTTTGTTTGACATAATCATTAGCGAATGTGTTAAATAAAATATGAAATGGTTGTATTGAAAGGACGGGGAAGACTGGTTTTACATCTAGCAGAGTGGAAAGTAGAGAATCACACAAGAGGAAGCAGACACACATCCCTAAAATGAGGAACTGCAAATGTTCGGGTGTGCCTGCCACACAGGAGAGACAAACACTGCATTGAGGAAGTAACAAAAATGATGTTTAAGCACAAAAGTGAAGATTTGACTGATAATTGTTTGATCAGTGTCTAATCAATGATAATCCACGCCAAATAAGGTATCAACTGCAAACTGTGGCATCTGGTTGGATGAGCGGACAAGGACAACTGACCAAGAATCCTATAAAAACCGAGGCAAAAAGAGGAACGAAAGTCTTTTCTCACCGCTGTGGCCGGAGGCTCTGTCCAGTTAACCATCTGACTTCCAGGAGACCGAGGACTGTGGAGAAGCAGTCCAGGGAGAGGGCACCCCTCCGGGGGTGCTCCCCCGCAGGCATCGGCCTGTGGGGGTGAGAAGCATGCCAACGAGGGAGTGAGCCCCTTTTCGGGGTGTTTGAAAACAGGCATCGGCCTGTCGGAACAAGAGGAAGCATGCCAACGTGGGATGATGAAACTGCGGCAGAGCCTCCCAGTTAAGCAGGGAAACTGAATTGAAGAAATCATGAATTTAACAAAAAGCCCAAACCCACCTGGCCTGGTGGGTGAAGGATGTCCTGAAAAGAGGACAGTTTTAGACATTTTCATGTCTTTATGAAGATTTGGACCAAAAGAAGACAGCTTTAGACATTTTCATGTCTTTTATGCTTTCCTTAGTC